ATCATTATTGTTACTACCTTCCTCATCATCGGCATTTTCATTATTCTGCTGAACAGTAATTAAAATTTTAAATATGCATCCACAATTGATAAAAGGCTAATTCAGAGTATTAATAATGTTACCTTTTGTCTTCCTCCATTCCTAACAAGGGTGTTTAATTCTTGGTGTACTTTCACATTTGTTTCATGAACTTCATCACGAATTGACCTCTATCGGATAAAAGTTATCATAGTTAGTTGCGAACTTAGTTGAAGAGTGCAATTGAACGCACCGCTTTTTTTTCTACAAGCCACAATTCCCAATCTGAATTGTACTATTAATAAAGAAAGTATATGTTAGAGATACAATATATTTGAAGAGTATATTTGATTATATACATTAACAGTTTCTCTGAGATTTCTTAGTTTCAACTGTTTGTTTGAGTCTTCGCAAAAGTTGATAGCCTGCTCAAGAGTCTTCCTGTACTTTTCAAATGCACGAGACTTATGTGTCGGTTGGATAAAACGAAAAAATTCTAAAGGGGTTGGGTTGTTACATGAGATCATCCAATCAACATGGCACTGCCTAAGTATTTTCGCGGATGAACTTTTCATACTCGAAATCTCAACGCATGAAATATTAACAAAAAAGATAGATGAGCCAATTGTTTAAACGAAATCAATTAATGAAAAGGTGTGCTATTGTTTACACAACGGCCGGCCACCTCCTGGACGATGACTTGCCAAATAATAGCTTCCGGTAGATCGCAGTCTACCGCAGACGCCTTGTGTATCCAACAGACATCAAACAACTTTGTAGTTCAAAATCAGCCGGCCATCTCCTGGACGATGACTTGCCAAGTACTGGCTTCCGATAGATCACAGTTTACCGACGATGCATCATTTGTTCTTAACAAAGCAGTTGTAAATAGGAAAAAAATAATACCTACCAGCTCAAAGAGGTTTAAATAAAGCGCAAAACGGTTAAGGGCTCTCTGATAGTATATCCAAATAAACGCGAGACGCGAGTATTTACTTGATTTGAAAATCGATCACGTGAAGATCGCGTAAACTCTGAAACTTATGGTGTAACAGTAGATCGAATGAATGCAATACTTCTTTTACCTATTCATTATACATGTTGCTAAAATCCATAGATTCTTGCATATATATTATATTTGATTTTTTTTTTAATATTGTATTATATTTTCTTTTAAATACTATTGAGCAAAAAAGATAACTTTTTTAAAAACAAAAGTTATTCGATTTTTTTTTAAATAATAAGTTGATATAAACAACAGATTATATGATTACTTATGATTATAAGATTAGTTTTTTTATAAATATTATTTAATCTAATGTCTTTTTGTTTTGTTTTTTAGTTTTATATATTTTCATATTTAAAAGAAAATATAACAAAATAAAATTAATTAAATAAAAAAATATATTCTCTATTGATTATATATATACTATATATCTATTTATTTATATATTGTAAAAGGGACCGAAAAATTAGATAGATTCCACGTATGTCATCCTCACCCAATTGGGGTTTAATTGGGGCTTGAGGGATTTTTGGGATTTTGGGGATTTCTTAACATGTAT